ACGTCTTCTACTTCAGAATACTAAAAACGTTAAACAATGATTAAACATAAAATATAATATTTAAAATTCAACTCACTTTTGGATGATCACCACTCGCATTGAAAGTTTTGGTATACTTTCCCATGCTTTGTTTTTATCGTGAATGCTAAATGCATCGGTTTTCTTATTTTCCACCACTTTATTTAATTGTATCAATTCAATAATTAAAGATTTTTCGGATGCTGAATAGGCAAGTCCTTTACCCATTTTGACTAGTCGTATTTAAAAAAATGATATTTTTTTGAAAATGTATTTACATAAAAACGAATATCGTATAATAATATACAATTCGTGAGTGATAACAGTGATAATGAGTGATAACAATCTATAACCATGTGTGACCATGACTTTGGTTATCAAAATAAGAATAAGAATTACTTTTGCTTATAACTTTTAAAAGTATGACTTAAGCCTGTTTATGAATACTTATGATTAAGCATTACTTTTAAAAGTAAAAGATAAGAATAGACTTGGGAATTGATTATAAATACGGCCCTTAGTGTTGTATTTTTAATCTTTAGTTATAAACACAAATATTTTTATGATTTTATATTTTAATTATTTTTTTTCGCCGTGCTGGCTTAAAATTTTATCTACATTCTACAACCGGTTATTAGGTACGTTGTTTCCTTAGAAACACAGTTACATTCATATTTACGTATTTACATATATAATATTACCAAAATAAATATTAACACGTTGACTGCCACGAGCCCGCCGGCGTCCTAACACGGATATGTATAAAGAATAAAGATTACACTGTTTATTTTTTATTTATAATAATCAGGGATCGAAACCGGTTTTTCAAAAACCGGTTAAAACTGGTTAGAACCGTGGTTTGTTCATTATTGAACACCGGAACCGAAACCGACACCAAAAGCTTTAAAACACCGGTTAAAAAACCAAAACCATAACATATAATATAACATAAAATAATATAATGTTGGAATTTATTAATAAAAATCCCGATGCTCTTAGGTAATCACTAACCAGTATTACGAAATATTAATATCTATTTGTAATACGAATATTGTTCTATTTATATTTTATGTTATTCCTATACTTATTGTATTGGTTCTAAATTAAAATATAATACAACTACTATTATTTTGTCCGCCTCTATGCGGTTAAACATGTTTGTAATCACTAATCAGTAATCTGTATTGTTGTTATATTATATTAATAATTGTAATGTTATTATTTATTGCCTATTGAGTATTGGTAATAAAAACGACAAATGTTATTAAAAAATAGAAATATGTAAATTTCTAACAATCTCTTGGATTAAAAATGTGTGTTAAACGTGTATTTATAGATACCTTTTTAAATAACAGAATTGTCAATACTCCAATAACCTTTTTTAGCAACTATCCATTTAAATTTAAATTTAATATTTTGTTCAAATATCATAAGCATAACATGAGATGAGATTTAACATGACATATCATGAGATTTATTATACTGTAGTCTGTAATATAATGCAATATTATTGTAAATTACAATTAAATATTAATGTAATGTAATCGAATAATGATCTCTATAATATTATGTTGTATGCAAAAGCAGGTAGGTACCTACTACCTGGGTCCATTTCTACGGCCCCCCCGATTTGGAATTTTTGAATTCTGTTTTGACAGATCGTTTGTGCATCGTTTGTGCACGAATGTGCACGAAGTCCCGTCGTTTGTGCACAAATACAGGGGGGATTATCCCTAAATCAAATTCGGGGGGCCGTAGAAACGACAGCCCCCCCGATTTGGAATTTCGAAATTCTGTTTGGACAGATCGTTTGTGCATCGTTTGTGCACGAATGTGCACGAAGTCCGGTCGTTTGTGCACAATTATTCCTGGAGATATCACAAAAACAAAATCGGGGGGCCGTAGAAACGAGAGCCCCCCGATTTGGAATTTTGAAATTCTGTTTGGACAGATTGTTTGTGCATCGTTTGTGCACGAATGTGCACCAAGTCCCGTCGTTTGTGCACAAATACAGGGGGGATTATCCCTAAATCAAATTCGGGAGGCCGTAGAAACGGCAGCCCCCCCGATTTAGAATTTTTGAATTCTGTTTGGACAGATCGTTTGTGCATCGTTTGTGCACGAATTTGCATGAAGTCCGGTCGTTTGTGCACAATTATTCCCGGAGATATCGCAAAAACAAAATCCGGGGGGGCATAGAAACGGCAGCCCCCTGATTCAGCAGATTGCTCAGTGGCAGCGCAATTTGTGAATATCCAGGTATAAACCTTCGGAAGTACCCGGTAAGACCTAAGAAGCTCTGTACGGCTTTGGCAGTTCTTGGTAGCGGGAACTTCTGTACTGCGATGGTCTTTGCCTCTGATGGACTCACTTCATTGTGCCGGATACGATAGCCTAAGTAGTCTATTGAGTCCTTTAGAAATTGACATTTGGRCCATTTAATGTCCAATCCATTTTCAGCTGCAACCTGCAACACAGCCCTTAATCGCACCATGCCTTCCTCCACATTTGCCGCTACAATAATCAGGTCGTCCATGTAGGCCAACAAGTGACCAAGTCGGATGAAGTCACGAAAAATGAAATTCACATATCTCTGAAACACAGGTGRTGATATACATAATCCAAATGGTGTGCGTAGGAACTCATACTGACCGTTGGGTACCACGAACGACGTATACTTGACGCTAGCTTCATCTACTGGAACATGGAAAAATCCATTTCTCAAATCTAGTGTTGAGAAAATCACTGCGCCTCGTAGCCTTTCAATCTGGTCGTCAATTAATGGCAATGGATAACGGTCCCTCACAATTTTTTTATTTAGCTCGCGGAAATCAATACAGAGTCTGAGTGTGTCATCTTTTTTCTTCACCAACACGACGGGACTGGCATACTCCGAGCAACTGGCCCGAATGATACCTTCGGACAACCATTCCTGAATTTGCTTATCCACTGCTATCYTCTCACGCGGTGCCAGCCTCCTAGGTCGCTGGAATACTGGAGTCTCATCAAATAGAACAATGGCTGTTTTCATTGGCGCTGTAACACCTTGGACTGGACAGTATGTATCGACCAATTCCTGCACCATGACTGACTGGGCTCTCACGCCTATATCCAATTCGTTGACATTGGTATTGATGTTCATTAACTGCTGGGCGGTATTGACATGGGTAATGGTCACAGACTGAGGACTTACTCTAAGCACAGCGTTAGTTTGGAATAATGGCCGACCTAGAATAACGTCATACCCTATGGCGCCATCGGGCACAGAGTGAACCTCARCATGGTAGCTTTCCCCATCTACAGTTAGCTTACATTCGAAACGACAATTGGTTTGAAAGCACGTGTTGGCTGGTCCATTCAACTGCGTACGGCTTGGGATGCTATGCATGCCACTCAACTTTTTCAAAAACGATTCACGGCACAGATGTATATCACATCCGGTGTCAACAAGGGCCAACGCCTCCTGGCCCAGAATATATACAGGTTTTACAATTCTACCATCAGCGTTGTAGGTGTTGACCTGGTAGACATTGGCAGGTCCACCCGAGCGGCCAGTCGCACCAGCATGCTGGTTCTCCGACTTAGTTGGACAAGCAAACGATTTATGCCCATACGCGCGACAAGCAAAGCATTTGGGTCCTTTACCCGCGTCGGGACACTCCCGCGACTGGTGTCCTCGATCACCACAATTGTAGCACCTTATTTCTACCGGCCCATTACGCGCGGGCGCGGGGGGCGCATTCCTGGATTCGGCATTCCGCCTTTCACACATCCTGTCATACAACTCCAACTTTATTTTAAATTCAGGGATGGACGTTGCACCATATAGTATACTTTTGTTGGTAACCGCATCTGGAATTCCACAAATGATGTAGTCCATCAGCGAGTCATCAGGGACACCTCCTTGCATAGCCAATTCACGCATGCGATAGAGGTATTGCAACAACGTTTCATTTTGCTGCTTAAAATCGGTGKAAAGCAATCGGTGAACATYTGCTGTTGTTAGCCGACTACGGAACTCACTGAGCAGCCGAGCGCGTAACACACTCCATGAGTTCAAGCCATCTTCCGACYTAACAAAAGCCTGTGCCGTTCCCAACAGCAAGCGTTTGCAGTAAACAAACTTGTGTAGGTCTGACCAAGCGCACAACAACGCCATTTCTTCGAAGTCATTGAGCCATTTCACTACCGAACAATGACCATCGCCCGTGAAGGGTGACAACGCGTCCTRGACATCATGGAATTTCATCGCACTTGTAGCTTCAGTCTCGACATGAACACTACTGATGCTCGGCGACTGCTTCCTAGTCGCTGATTTCCGTTTACGAGGAGGCATTATGCGCACTCAACTCTCACACAACAATTAACCGTAATCACGGTTCACGCTCTAWCAATGATAACAGCCCACAACAACTCACGCAATCACGTCGGCTGATGCAAATACCAAAGTAGGTAAGTTAATAACCACGGTACTGATACCATAAACTTCGTCGCTGATAAGCGGCAATTTGAGGTTATGTAAACGGCGATGTMCAACAACACAATACGTTTTTCCCGCGTGAAACAACAAAGGCGTACGGTGTACAGTGTACACGTRTACGTCGTACGACAGTTTAAGACACGGGTAACCACTAAACGGCGAATTTCGAATAACGCACAATTACATAAACGAACAATAACTCGCAAACGGAACAATCGGTACAGGTTTCTCCGCACAGGCTACACAATTCGGAATAACAGTTTCCGATTACGATCCCGGACAGGCCCCCAAAATGTGGGATCGGTAGGAATAATGTTAAACGAATAACTATAATGACTCGATATATTACAACGTAGCAACAAATTACAAAGTACAACAAACAAATAAGGAAAACAACAACGGTACGACACTATGACTCGTCGGGCGTCACAACATCACTGGTCTCTTCAGGCAGGCCCTCACACTGCTTTGGCTCGACTTGGTCGACACCAGTGTTACCATCCCATATATTATATATATATAATTTATATGTTTTAATTATTAAAAAAATAATTAAAAATGTATGCGGCCCGCAAATAATTTTCAAAAATTACA